AGTGGTGAGGGTTATATGAGTGGCCTTCATGGGCACCAGGCCTATTTTAGCCAGATTCCATTGGTGCCAAAGCTGGTAGCAGTATGTAACAGGAAGGAGGCATCTGTGGTTTGCTGTCACACAGAGAGTGAGAGGACTCTACACCAAGGGGAAGAGGGCAGAGATGCTTACTAACAATGCCCCACACTCTCATCCAGAGCACCGTGATTCTAGAGGCTCCAGTTTGAATTAAATTCTTCCTAATTTTACTCCTTCCTCACATCCCTAAAAATAATCACTGTCTTGTATTTTTGATGAGTTCCTTGCTTTTTAATAGCTTTCCATGAGTAATTTATAAACATTATATAAATGGAATAATATCCAATGCATTCTTTTGTGACTGGCTTCTTTTATTTTACCTTTTCTGCGGGGGAGGTACTGGGAATTGAGCATAGGCCTTTTCACTGAGCTACATCCCAGCCCTTCTTTTTAAAATAATTTGTATTTTCAGACAGATTTTGCTAAATTGGCTTTGACCTTTTTGACCTTTTTCCTCAGCCCCTCTGAAAGCTGGGATTAAAGTTATGTGTCACCAAGCCATAACTTTGTGTTTTTAAGGTTCATCTACGTTATTAGATATAGATCTATTTTATTCATTTTTATTATTTAATGTTCTATTGTGTGAATATAACAAAATTTGGACATTGGTTGTTTTCACGGCTTGGCTATTTTAAAAAATGCTTCTTTTGGATATTTCTGCCCATGTGCATACATTCCTCTTGTATCCATTTTGTGCTACAACTGTGAATATTGTATTCTTACTGTTACTTTATCCTTTTTTCCTGAAGTAGTGTTGTTTGAATAACAAAAATTTTCTCTTCTCAATAAAACAAATTTATATTTTAAATTTTTTCACATTAAAACCTTTTTATTTTAATACCCTTTTTTCATCCTCTTTAACATCTTTTTCTACCTTGAGGTCATCAAAATATCATGTTATATTGTTTTCTAAAAGCTACATTTCTTATTTTTTAATTCTAGTCACTGTAATTTGGCTTTTGACTCTTATTTCCCTTAAAGTGTTCTTGTATATTCCAATCTTACTGCTTCCCTTGAGCTATACATCCGTATTTACAGTTGCTTACTTGACTTCAGTGCTTATACATTTGAAACGAAACAGATTCAGAAAGTAACTCTTGACTTCTCATCCTCCAGAACGTGTTCTAACTTTCCTGTCTCAGTTGTGGAGGCCCAGAAGTTGATTTTTCCCTCTCCTAAATTTAACCAATCGAAAATTTGTTATTTCTTTCTATAAATATCTTCTGAATTAAACTCTTTTTTAGTTTTCTTCATTTATAACTCCTTAATCCAAAGTGGTCCTGTTCTTCTCTTGAATAGCCTGAAGCCTACTGATTAGTGTCCTTAGAGTTCTGCTACAATTTGTTTTCCCCTTCAGACTAGCCAGATTAATCTTTAGAAAATGGAAAATTGATCACATGACTTTGCTACCAACACTTGTCCTCACCTTTATAATAAAATAGAAACTTATTTATGTTGACCATGTTCCTATTGTTTCAACCTCACCTACAGTTTTTCCTGCATTGTTCTTACTATAAGAAAAAAAGCAACCTTAACATATCAACCAATTTTTATTGCACCAGTAATTTTCATCTAAGTTACATGATTGGAGGTAGATTAAATATATAGGCAGCTCTGGACTGTTCACTCTGTGAATTAATTCTCCAATTTTGCTCAGTTGTCTTTTTCTTCAAAATGAATTGTTGCTTATTTCCAATTCTGATTGGTTTGATTTTTTAAGATGCTTTTTCTGTGGTTGTGTACCAGATTAAACAAGTAAACAAATAAATGCTCCTAATGCTCTGAAATTCTTCTTTTTTGGAGAGAACTTGTATGTTTCAAAAGTATTTGAGTATTGGCAGAGCACTCACCTGGCATTCACAAGGTCTGGGCTCATTCTCCAGTACCACAAAACCGAAACTCAAAATGATTTGTTTATTATTAGTAGTAAGATCTTAGATTGGGAAGAAAATAGTCTTAGATTGAAAAAATCTGATTTAAAACCTCATAAATTGCAGAAATCTTCCAATACAGGTGATCATTCAGCTTTTGCTCAAAAATCTTTCATGATAATCAACCCACCAAAGTCAACTGTTTCTTATTAAAAAAAAAAAAAAAAACTACCAGGAATAGGACCTATTTTCCCAAAAAGGGATATGTCAAACTGACTGTTTAGAAATGGAAAGAATTGGTTTTGAGGTTTGCCTTATGATTTCATAGACTTGTAAACATATACAGAAAAAAATCTATTTTGAGTCTCTGAATCATTTCATATTTAATAAATTAGAAAAAAGAAGCAAATAGTAGAAAAGAACCTTGAATGATTTGATTTAGATTCATAACTTGAGAGGTCATCACTTTCCTTTCCCTGACTACAGGGTAATTACCATGGTCATAGCAAATTAATGCTCTGGAGGACTCACTTTTGATTTTAATGTAATATTTTTGATCAGTCTTTTAGGATCCTTTTCCATCTTTTTATTTATTCTGTAATCAATACTCATTATTATTTCACTCATATTATATTTCATAATAGGTTTGTCGATTCTACCTGTTCTGAGTTTTCCACTGGCAAAGCTTCTTCTTATCTTGGGTTCACTAGTGTCTAATAGCCTAGAGCACAGTGGGGCTCTCAATAAATTTCCTACATGAATGATTGGCATGCTATAAATAAGTCTTCCAGTTAGCATAATAAATACTGTCATTACTTGCTATAAGCTTTCTGGGATAATTCTCCTTGCATTAATTTGGATACTATTTTAAACTTGGTTTGAATATCACATATTCACTTTATTTATCCTTTTTAAAATTGGATAATATGTATGCTTTTTATGTGCTGAACAAAATTCTTTTTGGCATTAATGACTTTCTGCAGCTAAATTGGTACTGTGAATTTTCAGTGTGATTTTTTAACAGCTGAAATAATTTGTAAACCTCCACATCTCCATGAATCCAAAATTACTTTCATGAAGTCACTTAGGTGGCAGAAAAGTGGAACCCTATCAGTATATTAAAAAAAGAAGCTTTTAAGTGTTCCTGATTTTCAGTATCTTCATAAAAATATATACATTTTGCTAAGTAAAGTTTTATTCTTTTCAGCAAGTAATTGCTCTATTTTCTAAGTAAATACTATCTTTTAAATAGTTTTTTTATACATAGGAATAAACATAAATATGTCTGTAATGTGAGGGCATGTGAGCATGCATGCTCACACACATGCACACGCGCGCACACAGACACACACACACAGTCACACACACACACATGGACACACTCCCCAGAGGCTCACTCTGCATTGCCAGTTAGGTGTCCTCATAGAGTGCAGTCGAGAGTCAGGCTTGACGCTGGCCTCAGTCACGGAGCTTGATTATAAGGCCGCAGAAAGGGCGAAGCCTTCAGAGTCTGCTTGTCAGTTCTCTCATTGCAGAGCCAATTAAACAAATTGTTTTGGATTGTCCTTCAACAACATAACTTCCACAAATAATCAATCAGGAAAAGACTGTAAAATAATTTATTTGAAATAAAGTGCACTGAAGATTTTTTTTCATGGAGTTGATTATATTTTCAGCTTCTTTTCTTTCAAAGTCAATTGCTTTAATTTAGAGCTCTTCACAATTTTACAGCAGGAAATGCAAAAGGCTTTCAAATTACATGGCCTAGAACTGTTGCCACACCCAGGTGAAGAGTGGCTTTTAGGAGGAAATCCTGACACATAGATGATCATCTTCATAACTAAGGTTTAGCTATAGCAGGAGTCCATAAAACCTCACCAAGAATTATGATTCAGACTATATAGATTGCCATGCCCTTATATTTTAATTTAATGGATTTTATTTAATATATACTCTTTGGTGGTGGTGGAGGGGAGGGGGGGAGAGGAGAGGGATTTTCTTCTCTCTTGAAGATGATTTTATTAATATTAAGCTCTTTAACCCTTCTCTTTGCAAACCGACTCTTCCTTCTTTTTCCTATTTAATCTTCAATTCATGACTTTGATTTAGCTATTGAGGATCGTTATACTCTAAAAAATAACTGGCAGGCAGTGGTGGGAAGTTGCTTCAGGGAAATTCTTCCTGATGGTCAAATCTCTAACTCATTCTTGTTTAGTGATTAAGAAGTTTATACACTGTAGTTATAAAGGTACCCGGGATGGTTGTAAAGTGCATATCCTGAGCTCTTTTATGGAAAAGATACAATTTCTCTTCTATGTAGATAAAAGGTAATTTTAATAAAAGTCATCATCAAAACTATTTATAATTCCTTTGGCCTCAGTTGAGGCCTAAACTATCTTAGCTTCCAAATACCTGAAATTCATCGGAGAGTTCCGAAGAGGGCATGTTCATACAGGATAATTAAGATTGCTATAGGACTGTACAATGATTTCACTTTTTAAATTTTATGACATATCCTATAAAATATTGAATAAGTAGAAATTCTAAATAAATACTGTTTTTCTTGCATCATCCTATTATTTACATCTTGAAAGTTATTTTGCCACTTTACCCCCAAGTTTCTACCCTTATCTCACTTCAATAAGCCATCCTCAGAGAACCCCTGCTTCTGAACTTTGAGACTTGTCTACATTGCCCTTGTAGACATTTTCATGGTGTGCTTATTTTTCTTACTAGTAACACAAATCACAATTGTTACAAAATTGTTAACTCTACAGTTAGTTTAACATGTTTCCTTGTCATATGGCTATAATACTTTTCAGGTGTTTCTCTTGAGGAAATATAAAATCTATTGTAATAAAAGAAGATTAAATAATGTTTTTTTCCTACTCTATTTTGTAACAGGATGTAAAATAAAGAAATTATAGTTTTATTTTTTCTGCTTAAAAGTAAAGTTTTGGAATTTTTGACAGACACATCTGCATGCAGATTTTGCAACAAAAATACATTTATTGCACTCGACCACTTTGCAACAGAAATACATTTACTGCACTAGACCCCAGTTTCTTGTCTGATCCAGTCCCGGTATGCTGTCACCCGAGTGTACACTCCTGGCATATTGGGCACGCCACACTGATAGCCCCAGCTCACTATCCCCACAAGAAACCAAAGCCGCCGTGAGTCTTCTTGAACGAGTGGGCCACCAGAATCTCCCTGAAGAAAACAAAATGTTCGATTATTTGCATGTAAAGACAAGCCCAAAATCTTGAGTCTATTTCTATGACAACAGAGGGAGTCATATCCATTCTACCCCTAGAATCAGGCGATTTTCTTTTGAAATAGTATACCGACTCACATGAAAATTACTATCTTTGAGTATACAAGTTATCCCCTGAGCAAGTCTGAAAAGATACACAAGTTGTCCAGACATCTTCATTTCCTGCCGGATGCCTCCTGCCCCTCTGATCTTCCTTTATCCAGGAAGCCTGCTCTAACCTGTTCCTCCCTTCTCTACTCTCCTCCATTCTAGCTTTGGGCGTGATTAGTTTCTTACTGGTTTAGCTCAATCATTTCTGCGTTGCTTCATAAAAGCTGATTTGTGGACCTCTTTGAACTTAGCACCATCTGTCAGCTTGTTTTAGCCACTGCACATGTCAGCAACTCTCACTGTGTTTGGATACTCCTTCAGTGTCTATTTCCCCAGCTCCACTACAAGGTTCATTAGGTAACAGAACTGAACCTGTGCTGGACACTGCTACAACCTAAGCTTCTGGCCCATAGGAGATGCTAAGGAAGCATTCAGTGAATTACTTTCTAGAAGTCTCATTTGTCTACCTTAGCACCCTGCATAGTATCTGCTGCATAATATTATCTTTAAAAAATATTTGGTGAAAAAAAATTCACATGGAAACAAGTAAAACACTCCTTATGGGGCCAGGGATTTAGCTTAGCGGTTCGGTGGCCTGCCTTGCAAGCACAAGGACCAAAGTTCAATCCCCAGTACCAAAAAAAAAAAAAAAAAAAAAAAAAAAAAAAAGAATTGATTACTGTTCTTTTTCAAGAGAAGCAGAATGGTACAAAGGAAAACACTCCTTATGGGATATTTACCAGTCAATTGTAATCAACAAACAACCAACAAATATTGATATATGTCATGGTTTGGTGTGGGAGACAAATTCAACATATTTTACACACTACATGATAAAATGATTCTGTGGGTACAGGAGCTAGGTATCTTGGGCTTGAGTCCCCCACTTTCCAGCCATGTGAACTTCAGTAAGCTATTTAATAAATCTCTGTGCCCCAACTTCTTTATTAGTAAATAATATTTTCTTTGAGTTTAAATGAGTTTAGCTCACAAAGCACTCTGAGTACACCTGGCATATAGGCAGTACTAACAAAAGTCAGCTATTTATTATTTCCACATGTGTGTCTAGGAAAGTTAGCTATTCATTTGATGCTCTGAGTAGTGAGTTTTTCTATACCCATTTAATCATGGGTCTAGACTGGGAGGAGGGTTGATGTGTGAATCACCAGCATGCTTGGAAGGCTCTGTGTGGGGCTGGCACCTCCTTCCTTTGGATGACATGTGATGGTTACGTTAACCACGTCCCATTATTTGCTGTTGCAGTGCATCTATTGCTACTTTTCCAAAGCCAACAAGGTGTTCTGCATGATGTCTTATCAAGAGTGGGCAAGCAAATGTAAAATAAGGGAGACTGACAGCTCTTGTACCCAGCTGTTTCATGCTCTGACTGAAGATGCGCCCCTTGAGCTGGTGTTCTCTGATCCAGGCCATAAAACCTGCAAGGTGCAGTCAATGCACTGCTAGGCTAGAAGTGGTAAACAGGAAGCATCTGAATTATTAAATACATTAACGAATAGTCTTTGAATTAATGAAAGCATGCATGAATACAAGAACTAAAGGTAGTTTTTATTTTTGAGACACAAACTGTGATAACCAAGCTGACTCCATCTACTGTGTGCTTGTGCTTGGACAGAGCACCCAAAACCCTGCATACTGATTGGCAGAACACTTGTTGCAGTCACACATTGTTTTTTTGCAGCTCACCTAGTATGTAAAACTTCCTTTTGTCCCCTCTAACCTGGCATAGTTCTGCTTCTGTAAAATTCTGCTTGCTCTCGTTTTCAGCCCTCCCCAACTGAAAGTATGATTTAAAAGGAGGAATCAAACTCTTAGGTGAAATAAATAAGACACGTGTAAATACAGACTGGTTTCTCTGGTGTGAAAAACTAAACGTGTATATAAGTATCAAAATGTATAATTGACAGTGTGAAGTATGAAGAAAAGGGCTAAAGTATAGGGGAAGTGGGAAGGGTAGGGAAAAGGAAATAAGGGGCAAAAAAAAAACATGAGAAAAGGAAAAAATGGAAACAAAGTCTTTGTAAATAGGGGAGGTTAGAAGGGGTAAAGGGAGGGAAGGGGCATGGGGAGAAATGAGAACCAAGATCTGTTATGTAAAGATACAAGATCCCAATGATAAATGTAACTGTACTGTGTATTTAAAATGTACCAATAAACTCAAGGAGAAAAAATAAAATAAAAGGAGAAGTCAAACCACTTCTCAATGCTGAGAGAACTTTCTGGGCACTAGTCCCCTCTCAGTCACCGGCTGTAAAGAAAACAGACTCAAATCTGGCTCAGAGTGTGGCTCATCTCTATAGTTCCAATATGCTTGCCTATAACGAAACAGAACCAGGGAAGCCCATGGTAGAACACAGGGAATATTTTATTGTGAGTAATGGCTTGAACTGGACTCAAAGAAAAAGCAGAATTTGTATACTCAGAAAGTGAGGGGCAGCATTGAAATAAAGCCTGAATAATACCTTTTTTTTTTTTTTTTTTTGGTACCGGGGATAGAACTCGGGTCCTTGCACTTGCAAGGCAGGCCACCGAACCACTGAGCTAAATCCCCAGCTAGTAATACCTTTTTTATATATTTATTTTTTGATAGTACTGGGGATTGAAACCATGGCCTTGCACAGAGCTGCATCTCCAGCCCCTCTAGACAATTTTTGTTTGTTTCTTTAAGTTGAGAAAGGATTTCATTAAGTTGCCAAGGCTGGGCTCCAACTTATGATCCTCCTGCCTTGCAGAATTCTGGGATTATAGCTATGTGCCACTATGCCTGGTTGGGTAACACCCCTTTAAGTCTCATGAAGGTCCTTAAGTCAGTTTTGATCAGATCTGTAATTGTCATTGTGGAGGTTTTATTATGTGATTGGAGAATTCTTTGAAAAACGATCATAAAATTTGAGTTGATGTTCAGGACTAGCAGTAACAATAAACAGAAAGGTCAGCAAGAACTGCCAAACACACAGACACCTGCACTTAGAGGGTTTAAAGGTCTGAGTGGGTAACCCATAGTGTCTTGGAAATTAAGAAACAAATCTCCATCTCACACAATTTGTAGGTGATAAAAAATTTTCATTTTTGGGGAAAATGCTCATGGACTGCGATTCTGGCATAAATTGTAAATACTACTTACCCATTCTTAAATGTGAAAGTAACATTTGGTGTGAAGACCCAACCTTATCTTTTTGTATACATTTCACCCGGGAAAGCAGTAGGAGATTCCCGTATGAAGCAGAATATTTAAAAGAATGTCTAATTTCTGACACTAAGTAGCTGTTCTTGTGGCTGTATGGGGCTGGATTTCCAACACAAGAACATTAAAAACAAATCACTTTATTTAAAAATTAAAAATTTATTCCAATTGCTGCAAAGTGAGAAGTACATATTTATTATTTACTTTTGCATATTTGGTTAAAAATTATAGCCTAGATTTAAATGGTTTCTTTTCCATTTGTTCTATTACGCAATTGTGGGAGGTCATATAACTCAGGATTTTGTATAAATTTCCTACCTTCCATGTGCTTCAGGACTTATTTCAAAATTTCATTATTATTTGTTGAACTTGAAAAACTATTTTTGTCATAAGTTGACAACAATGGTATACATGTATGGGATAGAAAATAATGCTGTTTAAGAACATAATGTGGAATAATTAAATCAAGATAGCTAACATCTTCATTACTTCAAATACCTAATATTTTTCCTAGTGCAAATATTTGAAACTTATTGTCAGCAATTTTGAAGTATATAACACTATTATTACAATGCTATATATTTGCCACACTGTACCAGAGTGTTTTATTTAACCCTTCCACAGCAGTTAAAAGTTCATTTTTTTCATGAAAAACTTTGTAAGATAATTTTATTTCTTAAACTTTGATTATGAGCTTTTGGAGATCAGGACTATGTGTCTTAATTGTTCTTTATGCTTGGCACAATATGGTATGCTAAGAATACCCATGAGCTTCCTCAAAAGGCGTGATGCCTCTGAGGAAGCTGTCTTGGGCTTACCTGGCATGCGTCCACTGCACCTGTAAGTAACCCAGCACACAGCATTCCAGGCAAGATGGCTCCGTTATAACTGGAGGGTGCATTACATTCACTAGTACTTATTATTCTGACTTGTCCTTGCCGTAGTTGTGTGACTGTGTTGCCTATTTAGTATAAAAGCAGAAATAAGATATGCTTCAGAGTGTGTAAATTAATAACTCTACTAAATTTGAGCAGGAATAAGTGCTCTGCAAACTTTAGTCCCTATTTATCAAGGCAGATATTTGAAGATCTTTGTAGGAATCTCTTTCCAGCCAAAATTCCCATAGGAGAGAAGGAAACTCCCTTAGACAGATGAGTTTTGCTTTTCTTTTTTCCTCTTTTATGTTAGTTTTGTGATACAGTGCCACTTAGACTTTTAGAGAAAACAAATTTAATGTTTTAAAATTGACTAATAACTTTTAAATTATCCACTGACTGACTCTGATTAATCTTTAATCTAGCAGCAAAAGAGAAATTGGTCGGGCTTCAAAGGAGCTAGTTCATTTTATATTGGTGTCCCTTCAAAATAGTACTGTTTTTCATGCCGAACACAAATATTATCTATGACACCAACCTATTTTATGCAAAATAGTGCAAAGAAACATTCTTTTGGGGGCAATTTAGGTTTTATGCTCTTCGTTGGAGAAACAATCTACAGCTGGGGTAAAAGTTCCAGGGTGTTGTCAACATTATTCTTCTGTTTCTTAGCTGATACATTTATTGTCTCATTGGTTTTGTAGCTAGACTCTACTGGTTCTTTCACACTGTCCTCACTTTAATTTTATTTATTCAATAAGCAAGTGTGAGTAATGCTTATGTATGTATGGTATTGCAAGGCTGGCAGGAAATAATAGCTTCACTTCAGAACACCTTAAAGGGAAATTAATACCTTAGGGTTGTTAAATATTAGCCACTGTCCTATTTATTCGCCCTCTCCCTTTTCTTTATAGTGAAGTCATTTGAGTCCTACAGAATCTCTGGATTAGTAAACAGTTTGTTTCTTGGCATTGCCCTATTACTGCTCTTCTCCCTGTATATTTTTTGCTTTACTTTGCTTTGCTTACACTGCTAAGCAAATTGAGAACCAGCCAATGTTTCGGCTGTTCACAGTATATGATGATTTCACCTGTAGAACCTGCCTGTCTTTCACATTTCCTAATTAAAAAAAAAAATATATATATATATATATAAAATAGCAAATCGCAGAAGACCATGCTATTGTTAAATTTTAGTTTTTTTTTTTTTCCTGGAGACACTTACCAGCATAAGTTAGTGAGCCCCATCCTGTTACATAAGCAGTGGAACCAGGGCTGACACTCTGGGTGGCTGCAGGCAGACACACCCGGTGGATATCTCTGGTGAAGGTGACAGCCCTCTCCAGCTGCACAGCTGCAATGTCATTCTCATGAGTTGCAGGTGTGTGATTGTGATGGATGGAAATAGTCCTCACTCTCACTCTCAGTCTAGGGGCTCTTGTGGAAACACCAAAGGTGGCAGTCCATTGTTGAGGATTAGAATAGCTAAAAAGAATATGAAAGCATGCTATGTGAAGACGGAACTTGAAAGCACTGTAAATATTTGAACTTTGTATTTGCTGAATCTCCCCTCACCTCAAATCTGGGAACTACTCGACTGTCATCTTTTTGCTGTATATTCCTATATTACAAACTACTAAATATACTGATCTCCTCACTGGCAGAATGAATGGTCATTTGTGTAAGGAAGCAAAACAGTTTTAGCAAATATGTCTTGGCATTTTCTATTCTAATAAGGATGTTCAACATTTGATCACTAGCACAACATAAATCTTCCCTTTGACCTCTTACTATTTCACACTCTGCTATTCAAGAAACTTACAAAGTCTGATATAGTGGTTATTTTAATTTAAACTCATTCTTTTGAATCATAATTTTCCCCCTTTTCTTTTGCGTTGAGAAAGAAGCTTTATTTACATAATGCTAAGGGTCATTCTTATGAATGCAGGAATGATTTTTATGTGCTAAGTGCTATGCTAGATACATATGTACATATGTGTGTATACATTTGTGTACGTATGTACATGTTTATCTGTATATATATGTGAAAAGAGATAGAGGAAAGCACTGACATAATAAATATAGGAAATTCAGAATCTAATATTATGACCTAGGAATTAGAACTTTTTAGCTAAACCCTCAAAACATGTACCATATGATAAAAACGGATGGATTTCATTAGGTTACATTTGAACATACCATGGACAAGTTTAACAGGTGGATGAGAAGTCATGAGAAAATATTCAAAATGTTTAATATCTAGAATTTTGTAGAATATATCAAAAAAATGTGTAAATCTATAATAAATGGACAGCAAACCATTATAAAATGGCCAAAGAATCTTAACAGGTAATTCATGAAAAGGGAAGCCCAAACAACTTGTAGATGTATAAAAAGATACTCAAACTTGCCAGTAATCAGAGATGGAAATGATAATAATGAACATCTAATGTCTATTAATAAGAATTATGAAAATGAAATGAGAAATGTAATACCATGGGTTGCTAGAAGGGACTGTAAGACGCCTCTTGCATTACTGGTGAAGATGTATGCATTTGGAAAGCACTCTGATACCTAACCAGACTGTATATGCACTCATGGGTGTGTATCACTGAGAAATTCCTCATGTTCATAGAAGGGCGTTGCTGTGTTGATCTGAAGCATCTGTGTCTCCAGTGCAGCAGTGTGCAGAGGTGGGCATTTGGGGAAACAGTTTGGTCAGGAGGGCTCCGACTTCATCAGCAGATTAATCCACTGATGAGTTTATAATAGGATGGATGTTGGGAGGAGGGGAGATTCAGAAAAAAGGAATAAGTCCTTGGGGGCATGCCTTGGGCTTATCTTGTTTGTTTGTTTCTTTTCCTCCTCCTCCTCCTCCTCCTCTCTTCTTATTCTCTTCCTCCTCCTTCTCCTTCTCTGTCTCTTTCTTCTTTTTCTTCTTTCTCCCCACCAGCTGCCAAAAAAGTGAACAGCGGTGGCCCCTGCCATGGTGCTATGAATCACCAGAGCCCAGAATCAATAGAGCCAAGTGACTATGGACAGAAATACCTGCACTATGAACCAGAATATACCTTTTTTCTTTTAAGTTGATTTTTCTCAGGTAATTTTTCACAGTGACAAACAAACAAATACAAACTAACATAGAAACTATGAAGATGATTGTGTGTGAGCTCCTTGTGGAAGTGAGAACATACAGCAACCTAGCTGGATGAGGAAGTACAGTGGCTGCCTACTGTGGGTTACTATGCAGTAGTGGAACAGATGAAAATTCTCAGGACTGAATGAAAATAATAGGAAACAATATGAGACTACAGACAGGGCTATTTTATAAGTTAAAGGCATATAAAAACACAAAAACAACTCTTTAGGTTTTGTAGGTACATGCATTCTTTTTTCTTTTGTTGCACTGCTGTAGAATGAACCCAGGGCCTCATGCTTGCCAGGCAAGTGTTCTAATGCTAAGTTATATCCCCAGCCCTAAGGTAATTTAAAGGCTTATTTCAAATATAGTGATATGAAGTTTTTGGGGTGAGGAGGACCAGGAATGACAGGAGAAGGATCTTGTGCATACTGATGGAAAAGATCTATGACTAGGAAGGCTGATTAACTTAATATTGCTTCAAACAGTAATGAAAACAAAATGTAAGCCAATAATAATTTAAGATTTGTGTGGAGTTCAGATAGTGGAATTAATACAAAAACAATGATCATATGTTTAAGAAATACTTTTATAAGGTACAGCAGCAAATGTAAGGGTGAATTTTAGTTAAATATTCTGAAGAAAATGTTTAAAGAACGAGCAAATCCACTATTGTTTTTACATTCAATTTTCTTTTGCTCAGTGTTTTTACTGACATTTTAAGAGACTCTTCTTCCACTCCTCTCTCTCTCTCTCTCTCTCCGATTCAATGAGTGCAGCTGTGATTTTCACTAATTGTAGCTCAAAAAGTCATTGCTAGATGTTTAGTTTGCATGGAGAATGGCATAAGTCTCTGGAAATAAAAATATAAATAACTATAGTCTCTACCTTTGAGGAGTTCTGCACATTAGTGCAAGAGACCATTATTGAGAAGTGTACTATCATAAATCATAAAGACTACTGTAAAAGCTAAGAAAGTTTCCTTGAGAATAGAACAGGGTGGTCAGAGATTATTAAGGAAAGTTTCCAAGAGGAAGTGACAATTCGATAATAATAACTTCTATGAACCATGGTGTAAGGTTGGTCATATCCTGAGCAAAAACTTTTGGTTGTTCTCAGTGACACTGGATCTTTGGAATTTACAATGCATTTAAAAAGCTAATTTTCTTGATAGTAAGCATTTGAGATAAGGTTCAGTCTGAAAACATCTATAAACAGGTTTCAATGGAAATCTCAAAAATGCGAAAATAAAGGAAAAATTGTTGAGCTCAAACAAAGCAGATGCAGGTGTTATAATCAGCCATGGCATCCTTGAGGCTTTGTCAAAATACTGATAGGAGTTCCTGTTTTCCTGATAAATCTGTCCTGGTTTATCATACTTGATAGCCTTGAATTTGTTTGTGTTCTTTGCCATTTTTTTTTTTTGCAGTTAGATGTTTTTAAGAGACATTGTAAATATTGCTTGAATTATTTTTTTCTCTTTAAAGTGTGACTTGTATTGTAGGCAAAGCAGGAGAAATGAACATAAAAGAATAAAATGAGAAACAAATGAACTGTCCCTACTTCCTTGCAATTGAACAGCTAAGAGAACTCTAGGTGATTCCATGATACAATACAACTGAGAGTATGAATGCAAAACATAAAAGAAATAGAAGGTAACAAAGCAATGCCCCAGGTCACTAAGTAATTGAACAGTGGTAATCTCTGGGTTAGAAAGACCTAGTCTGGGACTTCACTGAGACATTCCAGGCTATTTTGTGGCCGTGTCTTCTTTACTGAGATTAAAATGAAGAGTTGGGCATCCTTATTCCTTTGGGGCTTTGGGAGGCTGGTCCTCTATGCTGATTTGTAGCTACAGGTTTTGCCTCGCACTTTCATACCTCACAGTGCTGCCACATTGTTTCTTTTGAACTGGAGATTGAATTCAGGATCTTGTACTTATGAGGCAGGCTGTAGCGCCACTGAGCTAAATCCCTGGCCTTGTGCTGCCTCATTGTTACTTTGCCTCAGATATGAATTTGTGCTCCACATTGGGCACCATTTGTCATAGTGTATAACCTTGGAGGCACAGAAGGTGGAAAAGATTACTTGGAGATAAGACTTAGTTCAATCACTGAGAGCACAAGAGAGGCTGCTCCAAAAAGACTCATGAAAACAGCAGCAAGGTGAGACCTTGTAACTTAAGGACAGGAGAACAAAGATGTAGAAGAAAAGCATTGAGAACCTTTCTATAGGTGTTTTGGTCAGGGGACAGGAAAGGAATGGGATGGTTTTTTGCATGACATGCCAACCTAATTTCAGCAATCTTATTAGGTAGGGCCAAAAGGGACCCAATGGCCAAAGCAAACATCACTGAAGACATCTGGCTTTTGATTCTGCTGACTGTTGCCTCTGCAGTTCTGCTTTAAACTTAACCATACATTCCAGGAGCCCAGGAACTATTGTACCTTTCAATTTTCACTTCAAATGCTCCTTTCACCAGAGTCTCCCCACATTTGGGTTGGGTATCAGTATATGGTTCATGTAGTTTACCAGCTCTAGTGGTTCCATCATGGCAGTGAGTAGAAAGGCTAATGTAGGCAAAATTCAAAGATATTTTCCTGGGTAATAACTTGTGATATTTGTAACTGTGGGTTTCACTGCAGTGATAGTCTTTTTTATTTTTTTGTGATGCTGGGGATTCAATCTTAGACCTTTACACTGAGATACATCCCCAGCCCTTTTTTACTCTTAATTGTCACTATGTCATAAGTTGCCCAGGCCCCAGCTCAGACTTGTGATCCTCTGGCTTGAGCCCCACAGAATTCTGGGAGGAATTCCTGTGTGTGTGTGTGTGTGTGTGTGTGTGTGTGTGTGTGTGTGCATGTGTATGTATTGGGCATTGGCCCTGGGTCCTTCTGCATTCTTTTTTATTTTGTGAAGGGTCTTTCTAAATTATTCAGTCTGACCTCAAAGTTGTTATCCTCTGACCTCAAAGTTGATAATTTCTTACCACAGCCTTCCTAATAGCAAGGATTATGGGTGTGTGCCCCTAGGTTGGAGTTTAATTTAGATTTGATAGGTGGGTCACAAAAGCAGTTAGAATCCAATCCTATTTTGCTTGCATCCTTAGTTAAACTAAGAGCCTATTAAATCCAGCCATTGGGATTTATAGTTCCTACACTTGGGTGTGCTTTGAAATCGATTATCTACCTTTCTTGCTTTTCAGCCTTTCAAGTGTCAATGATTAAAATGTTGTTTTTTGGTGAATTTTGTTTATTGTATTACATTGGATACAGCAATAAAACTGCCAATCTATATAAAATGGTATAATTTTTTGAGTATATTTGAGTAAATGTCTGATTTATTCAGTCTATAAACATTGAATTATGAAATACTATAAGAAAAGTTTAGAATAACCAGGTTTCTTAACATTTTTGTTCATAATCTACATACTAGTTTTATTAAATTTTAGTCCCCCTTAATTTAATGAACACTTGTAAAAAGAACTGTATTAAAATCTAATAATCTCAAATCTAAAACGCTCTTCTTAGAAATTGTGAACATTTCTGAGAAAGGTGGCACATGATTGCAGTTGGAGCTACTAGGGAAACCAAGCCAGGAGGATTACAATTTCGGGACCAGCCTGGGAAATTTAGTGAGATAGTGTCTTTAAAAAGCGAGCTGGAGATATAGCCCAATAATAAAGCACTTGGTTAATATGTTAGTGAAAGAAAGAAATTGTAAAGTATTGAAAAAAAGAAATTGTGAAGGTTTCACTGAATTCAATAGGAAGAAATGGAGATTTGGAGAGGATATTAGCACTACAGGAGAATCAACAGGTTGATTCTCATAGGGCAGTGTTCATAGGTGGGAAAATGTAGACAGTGTTTACAAGAACAAAAAAATGCTGTTAGCCTGAAGCTTAAAGTCCAGGCTTTAACAAAGCAATTTGGATTGGTTATACTATGGAGGACTCTGGGTGTGAGGTAAATAGGGTAGCAGCAAGTTATTGAAAAAATCTGAGAAGAGAAGAGCTACGTTAAAGGGTACATCTAAGCTTACCACCACTTGTCTGATCTTTTTTAGTTTAAATTCCAACAATTGTTGGAGTCTAGGATGCTCTCTAATTAGGTAGGTTTGAAATTAGCAGATTTTCATCATGCTGAAGTCTAAAACCCTATTAGTGTGTCCTTTTATTTATACTAACAGGCTACCTACTTCCCACTGGCAGCCAATAATCTAGTATAAATAATGAGTTTTAGTCATTTTAATTAAGAATTCTTGTAAATTGTCTAAATTCACTTTACTGAAGCTACTCTTAATCAATGATCATTGTTTTGGTGTATTCTAACTCCAACATTAGATTATAAGCTCCCTTAAGGCAGGGGTAGTGTTTTATTCATATTAGTAGCTCTACAGTACATAATTCTGTGCTCATCCTAAATATTCAGTCATTTTTGGGTGAATAAATTTATGGCATTTGGAAGTCACTAGGTCAGCCAGCCATCAGCCTGCTGATCAGCTTCCATTATATAATATACAAATCTTGAACAACAAAAAATCAACATATGTTTACATTAGCATATTCAATCTCACTAATAACACTCAGACATATATTACAATAGTCTCTAATTTGAAAAAAAAAAGAGGGAGAGGGAAGTTCAGCAAAATCTCTAAACTTTCATCTCTAGGATTTAAATGAAACATTCTGACATATAGACTTGTTATTTCCCTTGATGGTATACTATTATGTTAAACAGAGAACTACCAGTAAATTAGCAGGCTAAAGGAGAGACACACTTTTGCTTTCATGTATAGAAAGAAAAGACTCACTAAATTTTTGCACTGAATTATTTCTGGGCCCTAGCCAATCACGTTCAATCCTAAGGTCAGTGGTGTGTCTGCAGGTACCTGTCTGACCTGATTATTTCTCGGTGAGTGGGAGGTGCAGCCTCACCTTCTGAAGCAGTGAGCTGCTGTCAGGACCCACAGGTTACTGATCAGGACCCCTCCACAGTGGTGGGCACCGTTGACCTGCAGACTGACTTGCCATGGCCAATCGCCCTCCTCAGCTTGAGTACCTCCAATGACTCTCTCTGCAGACAGTGTAATGAGGTCTGGACGGGCCCCACATGCTGAGGAGAAAAGGGTATTGATGTGAAAGAGGTAACTATTCACTTGGTTCACTTACATTTTGGTGATTGCTGCGGGCCTTCTCCACCAGTTAGGACTTTCTGTCTTTTTCCCAAGGACATGCTCAACTTCCCAAAGCAAACAATATGCTGTACTTTTAGAGTAACAAGTGTGAGTACTGTTGCCTATTGACTGCATTCTAGAGAAAATTTATGACCTTAATTCACATGCGGGCTTCAACTTCCGGGACAACTTCGGAATTGTTTGGAATGGTTCATCAATGAGGAGTGAGATACACCAGTGTTAGAGATCCCAGCTCAGCTACAGACTCCTAGAAAAATTTATTTCCTCTCATTAGACCTTTTCTTCAAATTGTGGTCTGTGACTCTGTAGCATGGGTATTCCCTGGGAGCTTGCTAAAAATGCTGACTTTCAGACTCACACTAAGGAATAAATCAGAAGTTGTCTTTTGATAAGAGATGTGTGTGCCCACTTACGTTGTGTAAAAACCAGGAAGCCTCCTTAGTGGTGCTGTGGTTTGTTGCGGAGGTTCTAGTTCCTCTCTAGACCTGACTGAGTCTGATCAAACATGTGTGCAAAGGAATGGCTCTTGGGCAGGAGAAGATTCTCTAGGGTAGTTGAGGGATTTTAGCATCTAGGTTTATTTGTGTTGTAAGAAGCCCATGAGCAACTCAGTAATTGAAGTTGAAAGAGAATGAGAATCACTCAATTCCTCTTAATATCAATTTCTATGAATTTTTATTCTCTAGTCTACTACTAAGAAATTAGATGTAAACCACCAACAATTTCAATTCCTGGACTAGCTTCTCTAGGGTAGTTGAGGGATTTTAGCATCTAGGTTTATTTGTGTTGTAAGAAGCCCATGAGCAACTCAGTAATTGAAGTTGAAAGAGAATGAGAATCACTCAATTCCTCTTAATATCAATTTCTATGAATTTTTATTCTCTAGTCTACTACTAAGAAATTAGATGTAAACCACCAACAATTTCAATTCCTGGACTAGCTTTGAAGCACTGCCCTGCTTCGAAAGAATAACAACTCAGAAGCATTTTTTTTTTTTTTTTTGCAAATTCCCCAATATAGGACCAGAATTCCATTAAGAATATACATGGAACTTTGGTTCCTGTGCTGCTTCCTCCAAATAAATTCTCTAGTGAATTATTTAAGCATATTATATCCAAAATAATACTGAGTTAAATATTGATGAAATTGAAAAACACCCACGGTGTAGTACAACTCTGTAAAATTACTTAAATTTCTGAGATAGGCCAGAAATACTGGTACACTGAACTACTTTTCAGCTCTAATCTGTTGGCCAGAGAGGTAAATTCTGTGTTTCTAGCCTGAGAGTACATAGATAGTGTTGAACATAGTGACTTTCCCTGCATGTAAGACTTTCAAAAAGTGTTTTTTATTATATCTCACGATTAACCTGAATCCACAAGAAAGCATGCTATTCTGGTAGACAGGAAAAGTTACATAAATGGTGTCATGAAATATATCTTACAACTCTACATAAATGCCATCGTAGAACCAGGAAATTAAAAGATTCCCCCAAATGCAGAGAATATGTCCATAGTCCAATCTTGAGTAACTAGTTGGTGATACTCTTTTGCTACTTCATTTTTTTTCCCTAACAGGAGCTGAAATAGCTTAAACATTATTCTACGGATCAGCAGTGTCTTGTTCCAACAAAGATCAACCACCGTGACCCTAGACTAAAGACATCAACACCATAGACACTGCTATGGCAAAGGGCATAACTTTAACTTCTTATATTTTGGCCAAGATTATTTATAAAATAAATTCAAAACTTACCTTGAGTCTATTCAGTTTATTTAGACCAGAGAAACTATTTGGTATTTACACATGTGTGACTTATTTATTTCACTGAACTGCAATAATACATAAGATTCTAATAAGATTACTGACATTGTGAAATGGGAAGAAAGGGGCTAAAGGTGTAGGGAAGGTGTGATGGATAGGGGAAGGGTAATAAGGGAAAAGAAAAAATGTGAGATAATGAAAAGATGGAAATAAAGTGGTTGTAGATGGGGAGGGGAGGAGGGGATGAAGGGAGGGCAGGGACAAGGGGAAAAAATGAGAACCAAGACCTGTCATGTAGAGGTATGAGATCCCAACAATGAATCCCTAAATCCCTACTGTATCCCTAAAATGTACCAAATAAACTCAATTAAAGCTGAAAAAAAACTTACCTTGAGTCAAAATATTTTCTGTATCTTGGTCAGTAATTGCTGGGGGAAAAGAATAATCAACAAAATACAAGTTAAAATAATTTCGCCTTGATATCTTAAAGTGCAGGCTAAGAATCTCTGGGGTTACTGAAATTCAGATTCCTAGATTCCACTTCAAATCTGCTAAAAGAAACTCTAAATCATGCGCTTTAAAATTCTGTAACCTTAGCCATAACCTTGGCACAATTTATTGTTATGCACACTAAAGTTTGTGCTTAAATTTCTTATCAAATACTTAAAAGATTTCTTTGCTCTCGAGTCACTCAATTTAGTTGGGAAAACAGAGGCATAAATAAGTCACTGAGATGCAGTGTGATAATATAATAAGAGAAGTTAATTGTTCATTTATCAGAATATAACCATAAGTATACATTGGTGTATACATATATTACTCTACTGATATTCTTTGAGGTGCCAAAGGTACAACAGTGAGCAAAATGTAAGGGCTCTATCTTCACATTATTTTCATGTAGAATTAATCATAGAATCACTTAGATAAATACACATGCAGAGTTGTTACGGTTTGGATATAGATGTCCTCTCAAGCCTCATGCAGTCATGGGTGGGTGAGTCTAGTGTGTGTGAGGCTAGGATTAAGGGCATGTGATTACTAAGCCACTACATGTGAGTGATGGGTTTGGCCCTGCCATAGTCCTGGTAGTTGAATAAGATAAAACGAGCAGAAAGACACTCTTAAGGTCTCTTGTTGCCTTCGCTACCTTGTGTGTGCCATGTTGTTTCTCCTCTGTGATACCTGTTTACCCTCCCTGCCTTGGAGCTAGCTGATTATCGACGGAAGCCTCTATGAACTGTAAGCTAAATAAACCCCTTTCTGGTTAACTTTGGGTATTGGGTATTCTATCTCAGCAGTGAGTGAAATGTAAAAAGTGGAAGGGAAAGAAAAGAGAGTAATTTTTACCAGAGAGGATCACAGAAGTTATCAATGGAGGAAATGACATTTAAGTTAGTGGAAATAATCTTTGCTCTGTATTTCGAAAACCTAAAAGGAAAATTGCATGCAGACAAGAGGGGAAAAGACATTCCAAAGGGCTGCACAGTGGGCTAAACACAGAGTTACAAGGTGGCTGTGCAGTAGAACTAGGACATGTGCCGCTGCAGCGGGTGGTGGACCAGCCGGCAAAGACAGCCGTGTCATTATCATATGGGGAAGCTTTGGTGCTCCCAGTTCCAGGACTCCTTGCAAGACAGGCTCCTGGCATGTGCAGCAGTCATCTCAAACTCCATGAACCTGGTTTACATATGATTCACACCTCACGGTACTTCAGTCATTGACTCCTCAGTCAATGTACCATGTCCCCAGGGAGCTAGAAATCATCTCAAATTCCCCCTTTCTCATCCTTCTCACAACTCGATCTCCAGGCTCTTTAACTTCTAACCCCAATTGTCCTCTGACTTAGCCCGCTCCTCACTTCCCCTTCTGTTATTACTGAAGTTCATGCTTTGATCATTGGACACTAGCACTACTGTAATGACAAACTTTCTTAAAATAAAACATTTCTGTGCTTTTTTCAATTCTTTTACCCACACCATACCAGATTGGTCTTTTCTTTTTCTTTCTTTTTTTTTTTTTTAATTTGCTGTTTGTTGGCGCATACTATGTATACAATAAGATGACATTTATCATCCAGAATTTGTACCTTTACATGATATATCTTGGTTCTTATATTTCCCCATTCCTCTGACTTCCCTTCACACCCCACCCCTCCCTTTTTACAAAGACTTTGTTACCACCTTTTCCTTTTCTCATATTGTTTCCTTTCATTTCTTCCTTTTCCCCTATCCTTCCTACTTCCCCCTCCCCTTTGGACCTTTTATTCCTAATTTAAACTATCTATTATACATTTTGATCCTCATTTACACTTTCAGTTTCTCATACCAGAGAAACTATTTGGTATTTACACAGGCATGTCCTATTTATTTCACCTAAGAGTATGGCCTCAGTACAGCATAGTACCGGCATAGAAACAGACCCGAGGATCAATGGAACAGATTAGAAGATGCAGAAACATCTCCAGACACACACAGCCACCTCATCTTTGATAAAGAAGCCAAACACCCTTACTAGAGGAAAGAGCCTCTTTAATAAACAGTGCAGGAAAAATTGGATTTCCACTTGCCAAAGATGGAAACTAGACCCATATCTCTGACCATTCATTAAACTAAATTCAAAATAGATCGAAATCTAAGTATTAAAACAGAAACACTAAATCTGCTGGAAGAGAGGTTAGGTAGAACTCATGAAGAGACTGGTAGAGTAAAAGACTTTATGAACAAAACCTCAGCTGCACGTGAGCTAGCACAAAGAATCAACAACGGGGATCTCATCTTATTAAAAAGCTTCTGTACAGCAAGGGAAACCACTAACAGAATAAAGAGACAACCCAAAATGTCAGACTGATCTCTTTTTTTTTGTACTGGGGATCGAACTCGGGTCCTTGCACTTGCAAGGCTGATTGATCTTTTTTAAAAGTGTAGATCAGATCTCTCTTTAACATCTGAAAAATTTAGTGAGAAATCAGTGTTCTTTGTTTCCATAAGTATAAACATCTCAAGATAGGTTTTCTTGTGATCTAAAATCAGTTTATATAAAGTTATCTCCAGTGAGAAAATACATGCATACACAATGTTTGGGTGACATTTGCTTTGACAGCATCAGTGGAGCTAACTCATCCTTTTGGAACCAGGGAACAAAGAAGAGGTGGTCAGCCTTCCTCACTCTTTGAACCTGGGAGGCTTGAGTTTGAATTTGGAATGCCTACATGCTGTCTGAGTTTGAGTAACTATCTGTTCTAAATTGGGAGAGTAAAAGTGTCTATGGGATTTGGAGATTGTGAGGATTACACAAAGCAAAGATGCATAAAGGACACTTAAAACTGTTCCTAAAAAAACAGTAAGAGCTTTTTAAATAAGTTCTTTGATGACAGTGAAGAAAATGATGATGACAGTGATACAAATGAATGGTCCCAGCAAGCCTCCCTTCATTGTTCTGCCAAAACATCATGTTAATTATAGTTTATTCGCTTCTTTCCATGTCCTCCTACCTGGCAGTTTTCTTTCTCTCATCTCAAAATATGGGATCCTACTCCTACTTCAAAGTCCATCCATCTGCTTTTTACGGAGAGATACCAAACAGTCTGGTATTTTCCTCTCCTGGATTTCCTTAGTGGTGTTTTTTACACTGGGTGCTTGATCATACATTCCCTGAATTGTCAAGTCTGATCTTGATTGCTATCGTGGATTGGTTTATCTTTTGCTTCAGTTAGATTAAGGGGTCTTGGGAGGTGGAAACCACATTGTCCAACATGGTGTTGAACAAAATATGAGCATTTGGCAAGTGGTTTTGGAAGAATTCCCTAATATGTAGGAACAGAGGTAATAGTCAGTTGGGTATCAGTGAGTAAGGACACAGAAAGGCCATGGACTTTGGAGCAATATCTTGGAGATCTTCCCAGTGCCAAGCATTAGCTCCTTAGTTGCATCCAGTTGGGGAATGGGGACATGGGGGACAACTTCATGGTGCTAATGCAGTGACTGCAAAAAAAATAGGAGAGGATTCCAATCTTTTAACAGCGAGTAACTGCCATAGCAGGTGCATAATGGTCCAAAGTGGGAGCCAAAAAATGTCTTTATATCTTAAACTCATTTGAAGGAAATTATGGCTTCTTAAACTAGTATTAAATGGCCAAGTTGGAAGAGTGTCCTTTATTACATAATTATTTTCTTTCAGTCATGTAACAATGATATATTGAACATCTTTTATGTACTAGATCCTGGATGGCAGGACAGTAGAGTGAACAAGGCAAAGGGGTTCTTGCCTTTAGGAAGTTTGCAGAACAGGATGAAGCCAAAACAAAAACCCATAAAATATACAAATCACCTGTTTATTTTATTTTTGATAAATATTACAAAAATGAAGGCATTTGGGGCCTGCGCGACAACAGACCAGGAAGGCCCCAAAGACCCCAGAGGGGTTTTTTTTTTTCAGCTGCCTGCCTGCCTGCCTGCCTGC